TCCCTACATCCCCTTCTTTCTTTATTCCACTGGGGCCATGATGGCCCCCTGATGTTCCTAGAACCTGCTATGCTGATTCCCACCTCAGGGCCTTTGTTCTTGCTGTTCCCTCTGCCTGGAACGTTCTTTGACCACACATCCAAATGGCTCACGCCTCACTTCCTTCACACCTTTACCCAAACCTCACCTTTCCAGGGAGGCCTTCCCTGACCATGCTACCTTATTCAATATCACCCCGATACTTCCTATTCCCCTCCCCTGATTTATTCCCTCCCTGTTTAGAACCTATTGTAATCTGACATTCCATGGATTTTATTTGCTTATCCTATTACTGACTGCCTCGCCACTAGAATGTAAGCTCCGTGAGGGTGGAAATTTTGTCTGTTTTGCCCCCAAGAGGATTTCAGGCACATAGAATAGGCCTGACACAAACACTTCGAGTGTTTGTGGAATGACAATGATGGATGGGATGACCGGTGGCAGGACAGCAATCTGCAGGGAGCAGCCTGGGGCTAGAGCCTCCCAGCTTAATTCCCAGAGAAAAAGCAAAGCCCTGCATTCGCTTTGGGCCTCAATCATGGGAATCTTTACCACCAGGAGCAGCTGCTAAAATAGCAGGAGAGTGAATTGTATAGTATTTTTGAGCTTTAGTTCCTCATCTATAAAATGGGGATTTTAGAGAACCTATCTCATAAGGCTGTTATGAGGAAGCAGCTAGAACAGTACCAAGGACACAGTGCCAGGTCGTTAGGATTATGACTACCCAGGGTGTGAAAGAGAGGTTGTACAATGAGGTATAGGAAAATGAGGGACAGAGGAACACAAGGAGTGTGTGGGGCAGGGAGGCAGAGTGGATTGCAAAGAGAGGAATGGCCCAGAAGAAGCAGCAGAAAGAGGCCAAGATGAGTATGGAAGGGAAGGGAGGGACCGGAGGTATAGATCTATCCTGGGGGCTACACAGGGAGGCCAGTGAAGGAGGAGGCAGGCAAGCGGGAGGGGGAGGGATAGGAGGGGAAGGTGGGAGTCCTTGAGAGCAGGAACAATGAATGCCCTGTATGCCTCAGAATCCAAAGTTGTGCCCTCACAGGGCTTGGTGCACAGGAGGGGCTCAGAAGATGCTTACTGACCATGAATGCCAGTAGGAGCCATGAAGCACCGCCTGTCCCCCCAGCCTCCTGGCTCTCACTCCCATGTGTGCTAGTGGTTGCCAAGGTTACCTGCTGAGCTGCTCCTGCAGTGCCTTCAGCTCCCTCTCTTGCTCCTTCAGCAGCTGCTCCTGGTGCCAGGCTTGCTCCTTGGTCTTCTGCAGCCTATGTCTGAGGGTCTGGAGGAGGAGAGGAAAGAAGAAAGGGAAAGGGAGCTGAAAAAGAGAGTCAGAGACCCCAACCCCAAAATGACTTGACAAAGGACCCCATGAGACTTCAAACCATGTGAGACCACCCTTGGGTGGAAGGCAGGACTGGGGATAACACTGGGAGCTGTGAATCACGCCTGGCTCTGCCCCTGGGTGAGCATGGAGCCACCATGTCTTCCTTCACTGAGGGGTGGAAGTTACAAAGCTCAAGGACCCAGAAGACTCTGGCCTTAGGAGGAGGCTGAAGGAAGGCTTATAAACAGTCTTGGGTGACCTCCAGGAGACCCATCTACAACAAGAGCAACTAGTTGAGGTCTGCAACAGTAGGATTTACATATTGGCAGGAAACCTGCTGAGAATGAGAGCTTTGAAACCTGAGAAAAACAACTGCCCTGGAGAACTGTTGGAAAGGTATCTCAAATGCAAATGTCTTTAGGGGCAAGGTCGCAGTATTGATGAATAAAATGAGCCTGGTATGAGGCAATGGGTAGAGGTGGGGACTATGGTGAATTAAAGAATGCATAGCTTTCAAAAGGCATCCTCAAATAACAATAATCCTAATCCTGTATGGGCTAATAAATATTGATCTGTGGGCTGGAATGATCCCCAGGCTACCATTGAAGACCTCTGACTATGGGCCATTTTAGATTGGGGAGAACAGACAGGTACAGAGCTCAACTGCTCTCACCTTGACCGCATCCTGCAAGGCCATCTCTGCTTGCTCCTCCTTCCTGGTCACACTGGTCACTCCTGTTTGCTCTTGTGGCTTCTCCGTGGTAGAGCCTTCCTTTGTTCCCAGGCCCTGAAGGACGCTGGGCTCCCCCAGAATGCTAGGCTCCTTGTTCTCCTGCCTGTTTGGTGACATGGAGCCCTCATTCATCCCTCTGGGGCTGGAGACCAACAGCCCCTGGTTGTGACCCCACTCTGCTTCCCTTTCATGAGTCCCCTCTGTTCTTTGACCCTCTGTACTCAGCAGGACCCCTCGGCCCTCACCCTCTGTCTCTACCACCTCCTTCAGAGCCTGATTGGCCCTCTCCCTCGGCCCCTGGATGCTGGGTGTTGAGAGTTCCAGGCAGATCTCTGTCCGTGGGGCTCCCATCTCCTGGTCTTGCTGTAGCCCCTCCCCCTCTGGTTCCCACATGCTGTGGAGGGCCCTGAGGCTCCTGGGATCTTCTTTCTTCTTTTCCAAAAAGGGAGAGAGATGCCTATGTTGCTGGGACATAGGGAGTCCAGCCAACCGGTCTTCCCCTGGTGCATCTCGCAGACAGCTGGCTTGGCTGGTGTGTGCCTCCTCTGGCTGGACTCCTTTGGGGCCTCCATTTACAGCTGAGATCTGCAGAGAAGCCCCAAACCCATCATCATCCTCCTCAGCACCAATTCACCAAGCTGGTGCATGGGAAAGGCCACAGCCCCTATGCAACAAGCTTGCTAAATATATGGATTCCCAGGCCCTCCCAACTGGAAATGCTATCCAACAGATCTGGGGGAGGGTCAGGAATCTGAATTGTTAACATCCGGTGATCTGATCTGAGGCCCCAGCTTTGACCTGATCAGGGAGCAGCAGCTCTTCTCTTCGCCATTTCCTTTCCTCCCTCACTGCTAGCTCACACCCTTCTCCCTCCTTCATTTCTATCTTCTGCATGAATCTGGTTTCCCCTACGTTCTTCCCACCCCTCTCCTCTGATCTTTCCCTCCGAACTTGACTTCTTTATATTTTCTTCTCTGCAAATTGGGAATAATCATACCTGCCTTGTCGGGTTGTGATGAAAATTTAGATTGACCAATAGTATGCTAAGAGTCACCTCTGCCAAGAAGCCTTTTCTGGACCCCACGTTCCCCTGTGCACACCCCTACGCTTCACATGTCATGTTGCAGCGTGTTCCTTTAGGGTCTGCCTCCCTGAACAGACCTGGAAGTCCTTCAGGTCAGAGACTGAGTCCTCATAGTTTCTGGACCTGGTGCCTGGAAGCTGGTGGGGGTGCAAAGCGAGCTCATGGAATGATGATAACTGCAAACTACCACTTACTGACCACGTGGCAGGAGCCTTGCTCTGTGCTACACATGGTCTGTCTCAAGGCATCCTCACAATCGCCCTGCGAGCATGGCAAATAATTGGCTGGAGGACCGTGGTTAGTAAGGGCTGGAGCTGGGATTTGAACCAGGTGATCTGGCTCTTCTTCAACCGCTCCCTGAACTGAACTGAGACATTTGCAAATTTTCCAGAAGAGGTTGTTTCCCTGGACTGTTTCCTATAAGCTTCTGGTCACCCTCCCTAGCACCTCCCCCTCCCCTGGGCCCCACTGGCTTCTGCAGATGATGTCAGCCATTCCTTTCTCTCCCCGATATCCCCACCACTTAGGAATATGAGCCTTTGCTTCTGTGGGTCCCCAGTCCCCAGGTCCACACATTGGCCTCTCTGTCTGTCTGTCCAGTTGGTACAGGGCTCAGTTACTGCTCAACCCGAGGGGTCCCAGCAGAGATGGAGAAGAGGCAGCTCAGAGTGAAGGTCAGGCAGAAGCACCTCCTTTGGGGAGTCTTTGGTTTTTCTGGGTCTTCCCTGGGTCTGGCTGGAATTAGAGCAGCGGGACCTGAAAGTAAAAGGGGCAGGGAGATCCTGGTCCTCTCTCCAGAAGTGGTCTTGGCTCTTGGATGCAGGATATTCTATCTTTCCCACCACCCATTCATCCCACCCCCCTTTCCACCTTCCTCCCCTCCCACCCTCGTGCACGCATTCCCCTCTTCATCCATCCCTGTGTCCCCACCCTCCACTTATCCACCATCCCACCACCCATTCATCCTTCTAACACTCCATCCCAGCCACCCAACAACTCTTTAGAGAGTATATTCTATGCAACATCATGGGGCATCATTAGGTTATCCTGAAGGCTAGGGAGGTGGAGATTCAGGGGCTCAGAAAGCAAGAAGGGAGGGAGAAATGGATGGTGCTAGAGGCTGAGGGCTTGGGGCTCGCTTGGGGTGGATGGTAGCTGTGGCAGCAGGCATGAAAGGAAGCTTCTCTCCACATGTACCCACTCACTCTGAGAACATGGGCCAGGCCCCATCCAGGTCCGACCGCTGCAGATCCAAGTCGAAGGCCACCCCGTTGAGAGCATAGAGGGAGTCCAGGATGTCCTCCTGGAGTTCAGGGCACACCAGAGGGCTCCGGGGGCCATACCATTCCCTGTGTTCACAGTGATCAGCATCCTTGGCCTTTGGCCCTGGTGCTATTGCCACCCCCAACCTCAGAGAATCCACCTCTACTGCATACCATAATGGGACAATTCCCCAGGTAGGGCTGTGGCCCTTGGGGAGTGAGGGCCTAAGTATCATGATGAAGTGTCATTCATGACTGGGCTTCTAACCTCCCATCTGCTCTTTCTTCCTTGACTTTCCCCTCATCTCTCTCATTTGATATTAAACCATCCTTGTGGGGATGAAGGGGGAAGTTTCGTGAAGGAGGGACAGTGGGCTCAGGTACGAGCAGGAGCATGCCCCACCTGGTGAGCTCTGGATTCAGGAGGCAGAGCTGCAGGCACTCGGCCAGCTGTCCATGGGCAAGGCAGAAGCGGATGAAGGCACGGCCTTTTCCCAGAGGGGTCTTCAACTGCAGAGCACACAGGGGGCAAAGTGGGGTGGTGTTAGGCCAGGGGAACTCAGCCAGCACAGAGAGGGCATGGGTGGTTGATGAGAAAGGGTGTCATGGGAGGAAAGGGCAGCTGGAGGGGTGCTGAGAATAGCACTAATGAGAGTTGAGGACCAGCGAGGGGGTCTATGGCCAGTGGAGCTGGGATGGATAAGACAAGGGCCTCTGGCAGGCCTGTGTCCCCTGGCCCCCAAGTGATCCCCATCAAGGGCCTGGTGGCAGGACCCCATCATCCTGGGGCCAGCATGTCTGCCACTTGGCCCTTGGTACCTTGTCCTGTGAGTGAACAAAGAGGGCCGGCTCTGTGTTCCCCCGCTGCTGCCTTAGGGCAGTGCAAAGAAAATCCCAGTAATCCTTCTGAGGTCTCAGGAAGCTCTTCTGCTGTTTCTGGTCAAACTGGGAGCAAGAGGAGGGAAAGGAGTCATAGAAATGTTTCCTCCTAGAACCTACCCTGTGTCCCAGCATGCTGAGCGGACACATGGCAGAAGGGCAAGGGCTTGTGAGACAGACCCGGCTCAGTGACTCTGCCCTTACTGGCTGTGTGGCCAGGAGCAAGCTGCTTGACCTCTCTGAGACCTCAGTGTTCCCATTCATTCATTCCAGAAATGCTGAGCACTCACTATGTGCCAGACCTGTTCTAAGTCCAGGGGAGACTGCAATGAACAAACTGACCTCATGGGCTTATATCTTGGAAGGGGAGACAGAAAATGAACAAACTGAAAAAGTAAAAATATATACTGTTAGATAGTACTGACTGCTAAGGAGAAAAAATAAAGCAGAAAAAGTGAATAGGAATTGGGTGGTGTGTGCACGCATGTGTGTATGTGATGGTATGTATGTGTGGTGCATGTGGTATGTGTGTATTAAAAATTTAGATTAGGTGGTTAGAGAAAGCCTTACTGAGGAGATACTACTCAATTGAAATCAGAAGGAAATAAAAAAAGTGTACCATCTAAAGTTGTGGGGGAAGAGCATTCTAGGCAGGTGAAATTGTGCAAAGGCCCTGTGGTGCGTGCATTCCTGGTGTGCTTTAGAAGATCAAGGAGGCCAGTGTGACTAGAGGGCAGCAGATAGAGGGTGGGCTGGCAGGAGACTCACACATACCCATATCACATATACACAAACCTCACGCACTCACACCCATACCCGCCCCCACGCCACACACACACATACACACACACACACACAATCAGGTAAGTAGGAAGGGTGTACGTGTAATGTGGGAGATGGGCAGGTCATGAGTCACTTCAGGGGGTTAGAATGAGAATTGCATAAGGCGGGCACGTAAAGGCTTAGTCTGGCACATAGTACATGCTCAGTAAAAGCTAGTGATAGTGATGACTGGGGCTCTAACCAGCAGCAAGGAGGGCCAGCTCTAGGACATCTGTGCCTCTGGCACTGTGGTCTTCAGAGCAGGGTGGTCTCCCCCAGCCCTGCCTCCCCACCCCTCCCAGGCTACATGAGTGAGGTTAGATGTCAGGAAGGTCTTGCTAACTGAGGGGGACAAGGTGGTGCTTGGTAGCAAAGGAAGGGTGGCCCTTTTCTCAGTATGTGGGAAAGCCCTCCTGGTTATCTGAGCCTGGAGAGAGGGGAAGGGAGGAGACCCGAGGGGAGGACAGGGCAGGGCCCCACCTGCAGCAGCCGCTCCAGGCAGCCACAGAGTCCGTGCAGCTCAGCGCTGGCGTCTGTCACCCGATGCCCACCCCCGTAGCCCTGGAGGATGGCAGAGACAGCAGCTGTGAGGAGGATGGTGGACATCAGACATCAGGGAGTGAGGTCTCTGAGGGAGAGGCTCCCAAGACCCCTCACTTCTCCCTCATTTCAGTCCCGGAAAATCTCTCGGGACTCACTCACCTTTCAGGTCCCTGGTGACCTTAAGGGCAGCCCCCTCTTCTGCCATGAATATTTGAAAATGATATGATTCCTGTGGCTCTGGAAGTTCACCCCGGAAGGAGCCTCTGGGTTCGGCTCTTTGGTCCTCTCCTTACACGAAGGAAGAATCAGCCTAGAGAAGGAATTGGATGGCTCTAGGGCATTGATGGCGAACCTATAACACGCGTGTCAGAGGTGACACGTGAACTCATTTTTTTGGTTGATTTTTCTTTGTTAAATGGCATTTAAATGTATAAAATAAATATCAAAAATATAAATTTTTGTTTTACTATGGTTGCAAATATCAAAAAATTTCTATATGTGACACGGCACCAGAGTTAAGTTAGGGTTTTTCAAAATGCTGACACGCCGAGCTCAAAAGGTTCGCCATCACTGCTCTAGGGTCACAGTGAGTTAACTGGCAGAATAAAACCCCAGTTCTTTCTTGTAGGCCCATATGGGGAGGTGATGGCGTGGCCCCCACTTACGGAGCAGTTCCTAGTGCCTGACATCTTTGTCTCACTCAGTCCCCACAATAATCCTAGCAGGTTATCAACTCCATTTTAGACAAGGTGAAAAGGGGGCTCAGAGAGGGTCTTTTACCCAATGCCACAAAGCGCTAAGTTGTGAAAATAGAATTTGAACTGAGGTCTGTGTGCCCCCAGGGCCCATGCTCCCAGCCCTGACTTGATGTGAGTGAGCCTGTTAGTGCTCATGCCATGTGGATGCTGGGCTGAGGGACCATCACCCCTCTTCCCATGGGGAGCCTTACCAGAGAGTCATCATCCTTGAGACACATTCTCATCTTTCCTGAGCCCCAGCTGAGCGGAAAATATGCGTTCTTTGAGGAGAGGGAGGCAGAAGTAAGGCAAGGCCTGAGAGCTAGGGCTGGGGTGTGGGGAGCAGGACACCTGGTTTTAATCCTGCTGCTCTCTCCCAGTTAAATCTCAGCTTGCCCCCCTGCCCCCAGTGGGTCCTGGAGCTCAGGGAGGAATATTGTGGCCCCTGAGGGCCAGTGGGCTTATTCTGAGAGCCTGGAGCAAAGACTGGGCATGGGGTAGGAAACCCAGGGGTCTTGCCTCCCAAGCTGTGGTTGGTTGCTGGAATTTTGGGGTGGCTGAGAGTGAAGAAGCAGTGAGGCACAGTGGAGAGGATAGGATGGGGAAAAGGAGAGTAAGGAGGGAGGGTGAGTGGGGAATGGCATTCAGAGAACACTGAACTGGGAGTCAAGGGACATGGGTCTCCATCCTGGCCCTGGAATTCACTGTGACTTTGGGCACATCACACACCTTTCTTGGGCCTCAGTTTCCCCATATGTAGACCAGAGGTTTGGATTTAGGGTCTCTGAAGTCCCTTCCAGACCAGACTGATTATAAATCCATGAACACTTATATGCATCTTGTCCTGTCCCTCATACCCATCAAGATTCCTCAGCTTCTCCCTCCTGGCATCATTTCCCTCCTCCAGCCTCCCCCAGACCCCGGAGGCTATCTGGACTCACCTGGGAAGGCCTGGCTGGTGGAGGCACGGAGAGCGGGCGCTGCAGCCTGAGCCTGCCACTTGTGACTCTAGTTCCTCTACAGCTCTCAGAGTTTGCTGCTTGGGAGGGTGACTCAGGCCCACGCCAGCACTCGAGGGGAAACCCTGCTCCGAGGGGGAGGAGCAGAAGACTATGGGGAGAAGTGGAAATGGGGATGATTAGCTGGCCAAACACGGACTCATCCAGGGGTGGGGAGCGGCAACTGCCTTCCCTTCTTATCACGGCCACTTGCTTTGTCTTTCTTCCTCATCACCACCAGGTGGCGCAAAGAGGCTGGGATGCCGACCCCGCTGATCCTCTGCCAGTTTTTTACCGCCACTTGGTTGGAGTGTGATGCAGGTGGGGAGGGGAAGGCAAGAGCCCCATCACCTGTCTCTCTCCTCCTCCCTACCTCAGTCTCCCGACGGGGTCGTCATCCTTCCAGTCCTGGTACTCAGTCCTAAAAGGAGGGAAGTGACCCCTGGGGAGGTGCTGTCTCCAGGAATGGGCCAGGTGCGCTGCCCAGGTGGGCTGTGGCCCTTCCACCCTGGATGTGCTCTGCCTCCTTGAGCTCAGGTCTTCCCACCGCCTGGTCCTCGCTTTTCTAGGCTGGGGTGACACAAGGGCTAGTGCTGGGGGCAGAGAACAGGGGAGCAGGCACCCGGGAGGATATTGTTCACAAACCCCAGGAAGCTCTCGTGAGCCCTGGCGCGCGCCTGGCCTGCTCTCGTGCGCCACCCCCGCCTGCCTCCCCTCCTGGACCTGGTCGCCCGGTGTAGAGGCTCTGTCCCCCTCTTCCTGTCCCCCGCGTCCCTGTCTCCCCCTCATCTCTCCTTATCTGCTTCCTGCCTCTTCCCTCGCTATCTTTCTCTCCTTCCAG